TCCAGACTGGCTCCCACCACCCCTTCTCACAATTCCAGTGCTGTTGTGCCAAAAGGCCCCTCCCCCATCCCTCACTCCATGGCCTGGGTCTGACTCTGCGGCCGTGAGTTCACGTATCGCATAGTGCCATGAGTCCCCTGTGGTCTGTATGACACCACATTGTGTCCATGTGTCCAGCTGAGGCTAGGTGTCCCTCTGGCCTGTGAATCTGTGCCCACTTGTCCACGTGCTTACTCATGTGTGCCTGTGTTTCATGTTTTGAGTCCTGTGACCCTGTGCCCGCTTCCCGGGGTGCCCGTGTGGCCTGGTCCACGGCCCTGTAGCCATGGCCGGGTCCCAGCCCGCTGCCTTCCACCCTTGGCAGCGGGGGCACCCGCCCCGGTCTACTACAGCTGCCTCCGGGCCTCAGGCTGGCCTCACTGCATTCCAGGGGCCGCGTGCCCCTCGCTTCTCCCACCACTGGCCTTAACTGGCCCTTGGGCCCTTCCTCTGCTGGGGACAGGGTGGCACCAGCCACTCTCAGGACCACCCTTCCAAGGCAGAATAAACTGGATCCTGTTGAAAAATAAAATAAAATAAAAAATAAAAAGAACTATACCATCCTCTAATATGGAGATCTCTTAGGATTGAGGTCATTTTCCAGAAAATGCACCGACTGTTTTCACTTCACAGTTCATTGGCTAGGATGGGGTCACATTTCCATTTCTGGACCAATCACTAGCAAGGATAATCAGCTTACCTTTAGAGGAACTGGTTACACTACTTTAGCTGGGACGGGGTCATCTTCTCTTGGGGCACATGGCTGCATATGAGAGTGCTGTATACCTGAGCAAATTCAGGTTTTTCTTCTTATTTAGTTCTTTATTTATATGTCTATTTATTGAGAAATTATATAAAATGCTATTATGATTTGCTAATATTTCAAGGCACAATACATGCAAGTGCATCAAGGCTTATACCTCATGAGAGTATATATAAATCTATATTTCAAATAGTCTTTTTTCAAAATCAGGTTTTATTAGGAAGAAGAGAAAAAGTGAACAGTGGGTAGACAATCAAAAGTGTTGTCTTTACAGTAACTGCATTACAATTGTTAAGGCTAAAGTTTGAGGGTAGAGGTGGGTTAAGCATTGCTGAAGCGGTGAAGATGAAGTTAAGCTGATGTTTCTTCGTGTAGAATAAAAAAATACCTTATAATAGAGATTGAATCTAAGGCAATACAGCTTTCAAGAATAAATATGTATCAGTATTTAAAAGTAAACAATTATGAGAATTCCAGTTCAAATGCTACAGTTTAAAAATGAGGAAACCAAAGCTTAAGAGAGTTTAAGTTGTTCAAGATCATATAGACAGATATGCTAAAATTCATAGTAGTCTTTCTGAATTCCTTTCATTTCTGCCCCAGCATTATATTATATTCTTCTTTGGATATCATTTCCAGGAATAAAGATAGGTGAGTTATAATTTTTTAAAGAAGAATACAAAAATCTTTATTCCAAGTTGTACAAAATGCTCTTATGTCAGCTCTAGCAATGGAAATGAAACACCTCTTTTCTCTTTTGGCATCCTGTAGATTATTGAAGGTTAAGTTATTATTACTAATATTGATACCAATAGTTGATCATCTACTATGTGCCAGGCATATATAGTCATTATTTCTAATCATCCCAACACCCTAAAGGGAACTCTTAATATCCCCTTTTGAAGATGAACTGAGGCTCACAGGCTTTAAGTTACTTGATGGAGATAAAATTGGTTCTGGGGTAAGTATTTAAATATAGGTTTGTTTCACTTTAAAGCTCTTTTAAGCTACTAACATTCCCCAAAAGGTGTTTTGTTAAATTCTTGTCCTGCTAGATGCTCCATGAAAAGAAGGGTCCCAGATCAAATAAATTTGGGAAATACTGTACTTTATATCCCTTTCATGGAGATTAGAGATACACAATGTAATATTTTAAAATATGGGAAATCCCACAAAGACAGAAAGTTATCCAACTCAATTTAACCAGTATTTCCCATCATTTGAAGATTAAATCCTTCTCTCACCTAATATACATTAATATTCAGAAAGTAATATTCAGTGGTACCCCCTTTGGGAAATTCTGCACTACATTATCAGACATTCAAAATACATTAATGCATGTTAGCAACCAAATTATATTTGAATGGTAGTATTAATATGTAATTATATTAAACATATGTAACCAGTTTAGGAGTCTTTCTATGAAATGATTTTATTTTTTCCAATTACTGCTCTCAAATGTCAAATCTTGCTTTCCCGCTGAGTAGCAGTCCCTTCACAACATCTTGCTCAAATTACATTTGTCAGTTACGGTTATTTTTCACATGTAAAACTTAAGATTAAAAAATTATAGAGAAAAATCAGTGGAACAAAATACTGGTATGTTGAGATCAATAAAATTGATAAATTTCTAGTCAGACTGATTAGCAAAAAAAATTACAGAAGCCACAAATTACTACTCTTAGGAATGGAAGAGGTAACACAAGATTAAAAAATTTTAACATTTTGATCATCTAAATAAGTGCAGAAGGAGAATTTGACAAAATCTGACATATATTCCTGATTTAAAAAGAAAAACACCTCAGCAGACCAGAAATAAGAGGGCATTTTCTTAACCTGATAAAGATCACCTATGAAAATCCTTCAGCTAATATCACATGTATGGTAAAAGTGATGTCTTCCCACTAAGATAAAGAACAAAGAAAGGATATCATCTCTCATCACATATTCATCAATATATTGCAGGTTTTGACTACTACAATATTAAGCAGGAAAAAGAAATATACAGTATCTAGATTAGAAAGTAAAATCTAAAACTGTCATTATTCATAGATGAATTAACTGTCTATGTAGAAAATCTGATGGAATATGTAAATAGCTACTAGATATAGGAAGTGAGTTTAGCAAGGATAAAAAGTCAATACACAAAAATCAATTTTACTTTCATATAATAGAAACTATCATAGAATTTTAAAAATCATGTATAATAACATCATTAATATGAAATATTTAGGGATAGATTTGAAAAAGATGTAAAAGACCTGTACATTGAAAGCTATAAAATTTGCTGGGGAATATTAAAGAAAGTCCAAAAATATAGGAAATACATTGTGTACATGGATTTGAAGACGCGGTAATGTTAAAATGTCAATTCTTTCTAAACTGATATGTAGAGTCAACGCAATCCCAATCAAAATCCCAACAGGCTTTTTTTGTAGGAAGTTACAAGTTGAAAAAGCAATGCAAAGGATCTAGAAGAGCTAAAAACAATTTTGAAAAAGAAGGGTAAACTCAGAATTTAAGCTACAGTAATTATAGAAATGTGATATTGGTTTGAATATAGACAAATAGATCAATGGTCATATACATATATAGACAACTGATATTTGCAAAAGGTCCAAATAAAGGATAGCGTTCTTTCAACAGATTGTATTGGAACTTAGAAATCTGCATGCAAAAAAAAAAGGAACTTTGGCCCATTCCTCCTGCCATGTATAAAAATTAACTCAAATGGCTTACAGACTTAAGTTAAAAAGCTAAATCTAGAAGAAAACACAGGAAAAAATACTTGTGATCTTGGATTAGGTGAAGATTTTCTTAATTATAACACAAAAAGCATGATCCATAAAAATTGCATTTTATTACAATTTAAAACGTCTATTTTCAAAAGACACTGTTAAAAGAATAAAAATACAGGCCACAAACTTGGGGAAACTAGTTGTAAATCATATACTTAAAAAAAGGCTTATATATAGAATATATAAAGAATTCCAAAACTCAATAAATGAAGAAAAGACAAATATTTGAACACTTCACCAAAAATGATATACAAATGGTAAACAAGCACAAAAGGATGCTCAAACTCATTAGTCATTAAGAAAATAAAAATTAAAATCACAATAAATATAACCATGCACTTTTAGAATGACTATAATTTTTTAAAAAACTAACAATACCAAATGCTGTCAAGAACATGGAGGAATAGAATTCTCATGCAATACTGGTGAGCATATTTAATGATATAACCATTTTGGAAAACACTATGGCCATTTCTGAGTTAATCATACACCTATTGTATTGCCCTTTGATTTCACTGCTCAGTATTTCTTGTAAGAAATGAAAATATATCTATAAAAGTAAATGCCAGTCTCTGTTCACTACCCAGGCCCTTAAAACCCTCTCCTTCCCAGAGTCGGAGTAGAGGTACTTAGTAGGACTCCTGGGCTCCCTAAAGTTCTTCCTAGAACTCGCTCACCATGTTCTATGCTCCACAGCGTTCTGAAACTCTGAAGGCACCTGCTAAGGGAAGAGAACGCAGTTTCCCCTTACTAAAGATACCACCAACCTTCATGAGCTATCTTTCTGGCTTCCCCTTCACTTAGTTTCAGTAAGGACGTTAGGGAAGACTTTTGCCCACAAATATTTCACTCTGCAGTCGCACAGACAACTATCTGATTACCAAATCTGTTTTCAATAGGCACAAAACTAGTCTATATTTATTTTCCAGACTTGCTAGCATTTCTGTGTGACCATGAGACAGAGTTCTATGCAATGAACGCAAGTGAAATGTACTACTTTTAGTCAGACCATTAAAATCCCTAAGAAATAATTTTCTCTGTCTCTTCCCTAGCTTCAGGCTGGATATCAATGCCCAGGAAGAAAGCAGAAATAGCAGAGCCTCTGACAGTTTGAGTCCCTAAATGAACACATAGACCCTCTACCCCTTTCCCCCCAAAACTGGATCCACATTACTGTTAAGTAAGCAGAAACAAACTTTTATTCTTTTAAAACTCTGAAGTTTTGTTTGTCTGTTATGGTAGTTAATGTATTATAACTAAAAAATGAAAATTGGTACTAGGGTAGAATACTGCCTTAAACAATGGCATCGTCTAATCAGGCAGCAAGTGGTAAGAAAAATAATATTGGAGCTAGAAAGATGGAGATATTTTATGCAGTGGCAAACTAACTGGCAAAACAATCTTCTTGGAAGGTAAAACAATGACACCTGAACCAGGCATTCTAGGGCAGGTGGTTTAAAAGAGTGCGAGTCTCAGCTTTTACTCAATGCCATTAGCAAGGTATTACAGGAGAGAAATGAGATGAGGAGAGATTTGCATAGTCTGTAAACAGAAATGAAAAGGTATAGAAAGAACCCAGAAATCCAGGCTCTCAAAAATTTGGAAAAGCTAACTCTTTCTAACTTCCAGATAATAAGAAAT